ATCAATACCCGAGAATTCAGTCGACGAGAATGTGCGTACAAAAGAATTGCATTTAATATTTGAAAATATCTCCCTTTCTCTTTAAATATATCGTAGATAATCATGACTTTATTCATAATTGTTTTTGATATCACTGTCTAATTGTACAACTCTATAACTCTTAATTATTGTAACAAAAATATTTTAATCATCTTACTTCATTCACGTTATAATCTACTGCTAACTTATTAATTTTACAATGTTTTCTATTTGCATACACATAATTTATTTATTTATTTATTTACTTGAACACATACATATTGGTACAAGAGTGCGCCAAATATATATGCGACACACAAAACAATGAGAATTTAAAGAGAAGGAAAAAAAGGTAAGGAGTGTAATAAAAAAGAGAACAATAACGAAGAGATTGGTGTAGGGAAGTGTAATAATAATAATAGTAATAATGGGGGGACGGAAAGGTACAGTCAAAAGAAATCTTTCAGTTTAGGAAGATACGACCACGTTTTACGAAGAAAGTAAAAGAAGGTTACGGCAGGATCGCAACTGGCTTCTATTCTCAGCCATATCTGATAACGTCTCTAGCCACTGTATAGCACCATCTCTCGGACCCCAACCAGGGAGTCGTGAAGGACCAACACAAGCCAGTCCTTTGCAGCTTTCTTTCATACCACGACACTATGTCATACACTGACCACCTCTCCAATTTTTCCAACCAGTCCCAGAGTCGGCAAATAATGTACGACGTGGAATTCTCTGGGACGACATTCGTAGGACATGTCCAAGCCACCGAAGTCGGTGTTTCAAGATTATTATAATTATTATTATTTACACACACAATCTTTAATAGTTATTATTTAAATTACGTGATCTGGTGTTGCAACCTTTCTATTACATCAAAATATTTATTCCTTGTTCATATACAGACATGAAACTAATACTTTGACAATTATATATATATATATATATATATACAGACGATTGCACAGCATGAGAATTAATTCTCTGAAAAGAGATCCCTTCACCGAACTTCGTGTTTTTAATGATAAAAATGACGAAAACAACACCTTTGAATAACTAACGGTTAAACACGCTATTGAACACTTGATTGCATAAATTTATGGAGGGCAATGAAAAATGGCAACAAACCTCTAGTGACTTTTGTTCACTTCGTAATGCACGTGCAGCAGCTTTAACTTCATCTGGATCCTTTCCAAAAAGAAAATATATAGAAATAAGGAAGACATTTATCTTCACAAGTGTTAAATGGAAGAAAGATTGTCAGTGACTAAATTTTTAACTTACATAGAAACTATTCCGATAGTTCTAGATCTACAGGAAGAAAAATATTAAAACCTAAATGCTACCGTCACAAGGCTACTTACATTCTTTAAATTGTATGATTAATCTAATTAAAGACTTTCTTCAGTACCGTGCAGTTGATCCACTCAATCTTGGTATGATGATATTAAAAAATAAGTCAACCCACCCAACCCAGTACCACAGTATTTAAAAAAACACAAATTCACACAGCCAAATTTATGCTCTACTCACAGTAATTCAGATGAATAACACTTAGAAATTTATTAACTTTTGACAATGGACCATGGTTATTTATTTATTTATTTAAACACATAAATATTGGCACAAGGAGGCACCAAATACATATGCATCACGCTTCGTTATTCGATTTGTGTGAGGGCTGAAATACTGCCCGGGTGCCCAAACTAAAGTGGGTGGTTTTTTCAGTGGGCCGCGCCTGAGCCTTTGACCTAGAGATGTAATTCACAAGGCAGTGGAGCGACGTTAGGGGATGTAGTCCAATGGTAGGAGGTGACTAATAATAGGTTCATACGCCATTTGTCCCCTCAGGATACTGGAGTCCATGTGCACCAGTGGTTTGGAATCAGGGTTTACAACTCCCTTAAGTGGACCCTCCATGTCCACAAACCTGGTTAAAGTACCGGATATTCGCTCTTCGTCCTCCCAAGTTCGTAAACACCCCCCCCAGAGAAGACAGTGAGTATGACTTCCATAGTAGTGGCTGTATATGCGTGGCCATGTAAGAACATTTCGATAGGCAGAGCGGACTCCTCACTCGCAGCCGTACCAGGGCATTTGAGGGCCATGGTGGAAAGGTAAAGGTAGAGGCCAAACTCAAACTTTCGTTCACAGTTTGGAAATCCTAGAATGTATATGTATATGGTTAACTCTACTTGACACTTAGAGAAAATGTAACAACACTCAACAGTATCACAGCCAATCTTCATACAATAAAGTGAAAACATGTGCTTTGTATATTGATGTGAAAAAGAATTGTAATTACTGCATATTGTGGAACCTTTTTAGATTAGCACAACTATCACATGCACATAATTATTTTTCTCATAACTTTTACAACAATGCACCATTCCATATTTCTCCATAGAATGAAAATAAATTGTCTAGTTCATTGTACTCAGAATTTTGTAACCATGTGAAAACAGGTACAGATATATAAATGAATTTCAAGTCTAATAGATTACTTCTTGTCTACGTTGTACCAATAAATATACTCACATCGTTTCATCGGATAAGAAGAAAGGGCATGAAGTTTCGAGAATTTAAACAAGTTATAACTAAAAATAAATTTTGTGAAAGTCAATTATATAACCTTCGAATACCGTGTTCGAACTGTGGCTCATCTACCTCGATTTTTTGGCATTTGAGTGATATAATAAGATGATGTAGGCGATTCGGGACTCAAGAGGATGCTTTTAGGATTGTTCTATTCTCCGAAATAGATAGTTTAATTACGAAGCCATCATTGTAGTTCTATATATTATCATCAGCGCCTGTCTCATGTGTAAAAGTGGACTTTTCACTTTTTCCATAAATGTCAAATTAGAAGATAAATGCGATATCATCTATAAAATATGTTACACCAAATGCGAGAAATAAAGCGTTGAACAAAGTGGATGCTCCAATTACTTACACATATATGAACAGAGATTAGCAGTTAAGCGAAATGGTATGTTATTATTGATATCAATATAGATAGATATTCATGTACATGAAGTTTAGAGGTATGACATTCATATCGATTGGCGGACATATCGACATAGATTCAATATATCAACTCGTACGGAAGAGGTTAATCAAGTAAATGCTCAGAGGTCAACCGAAAACGACAGTAAATAGGAATGCCGAAATAAATGGAGACAATAAAATTTACTAAGACAACCATTCACGAACAGTCATAAAAAAGAACTAAATTAACACTTGTAGAATAACGGGAAAGCTCACTTCAATATGAAGTAAGAGTTGATTATACTATCCAGAGCAATATTCAAAGAGCCACAATTAAACCATCTACATCAGAGAATACAATATAATTAAAAACTGAATAGTATCACTAACCATCATACAAAACATACGACTTCAAAACCAAATGATTGTTGGGTTCCATATATTTATGAATCTCCCTCCATTCAACTGAGAGAAATATATATGTATCATTAGTGAATTTATCAAGGAAATATATTTAAGAAATCAAATACAATTTCTTGTATTTCAGTTCCAACTACAAACTATGAAACAATGAGTAATTACTTTAAGTTCATACTACAGTCTTCTCACTAACACTGATTCTATTATTTCTAGTATCTTTTTCTAAACAATATTCTTAATTTATCAACGATAGTACATAGATTTTATTGAATTATTTCTGAGAAAAACAGGAAGTTAATGAAAGTTATAAAAAAAAAGAAAAAGAATTGCATATACCTGTTTATTGTGTTCATATTGATATTGAAGTGAAATTCTATCTTCTTTTAAGGCATTTATTTGTTCATGAATACCATCCATTTGCTTTTTTAAATCTATCTATTAAATATTGGAATACAGTTGTTTGTTTTATTCAACAAACACAAAATACTTTTTTAACATTGAATAACATTTACAAATTTAAATGTTTAGACATCTTGATTATGGTAACAACTGTATATAGACACACACACACACACACACACACACACACAAATGTATTATGGCGACAATGATAAACTGTGATAAGTGCAATCTTAAATTATATTTCTTTTTATAAATATATCAATGGATTTCGGGAATTAAGTACAGTTTGAAAGACAATAATCATTTTATTATGAATCGGATTATTATTGAAAGTTTATTAAAATGAAAACTAATAAATAAATAAATCTTGATTGAACGACTTAATGATATCGTATTATTACAAGAACTGAAAGTGTTAAATTTGATTTTACGTGAAGGTTTTGCTTTATTACGTAACTGTGAACATGGACTATGAAAGTGGACCAGATGTGTAAGCTAAAAGTTCATAATTATAGATCCTTTCACAGTAACACTCGCATCTCTTGGAAGGAATTAGTGAACAATGTTGAAGTTATGATTAGAGAACAAGGAAAAACAACCAATTACATGTACAAAGCTACAAACTTTCATCGACGAATATAGCTAGGAAATGTGTTACGAATACCTAAATACTGCTAACCCTAAAATGCAATATTGGTTGACATAAAAAAGATCAAATAACAGCTAACGGTACCAAAACCAGAACGTGGCATGAGTTCATGAAGTCATTTACGGTTGGTATGAGTCAAGTTGATACATGCAAACTATATACATAGTAAATGCGCGATAACCGCAAAAAGTGGTTGGAGACGTGGGATGATATGACTCAGAACAGATCAGAAGGCAGTATATGGTACAGGTCTCTTAGGTCGAAACACTGGCTTTGATCCCTGATGAAGGGTAAGAGCAGCTTTAAATTTAGTACATTCTCAAAGACCCTCACTAAATACCATTTTATGTCATTTTCATGATACTTCCACAGAGTTTTTCTCCTCAACTTTCGACGTACTGACTTTGTTACAGATCGAGTTTATGGGACAGTCTCCCAATTTTCTCCCACGTTCTTCTAATTATAAGTGTCATGTCGGAAGCTGTGTCTAACTGTAAGCGGGCATCGTACCGATTAATCTTGAGAGAAACATATTGGACAAGAGCTAGAACGACTTCATAAATTGGGTATCATTGAACCGGTGAATTTCTCAGAATGGGCTGTACGATAGTGATAGTAAAGAAGATTAATGGCAGCGTCCATTTATGTGCTGATTACTCAACCGGGTTAAATGAAGCCCTAGAAACTCATCAGTACCCATTACCCCTACCCGAAGATCTTTCTGCTTAAATGAATGGAGGTAAGCTCTTTGCAAAGTTGGATTTGTCGGAAGCTTATTTACAAGTTCCTGTTGCTGATGAGTGTCAAGATCTGCTCACCATAAACACACACAAGGGGCCTATTCCGGTATAACCGACTGACATTCGAAGTTAAGACGGTTCCATCCATGTTTCAGCAAGTAACGGATACTATGCTACAGGATATTCCAGGTGCTGCAGCTTGTCTGGATGATGTAATAATTATGGGAGTAGATAGAATAGACTTCGAAAAGAAGCTCGACCAGGTGCTGTCGCGAATAACCGAATATAGACTTCGGTTCTGTCCAGAGAAATGTAACTTTTGTATGCAAAAGGTACGCTACTTCGGATTTATAATCGACAAGGATGGCAGAAGACCAGATCCAGAGAATATCCAGACAGTGAAAACTATGCATAGACGGACGAACGTCCCCACACTACGATCCTTTTTGGGACTAGTTAGTCATTATGGAACTTTTATTCCTAACATTCATCAACTGCGTGCCCCTTAAATAATCTTCTGGCGAAGAATCTAAAATGGGATTGATCTGCGAATTGCCAAGCTGGTTTCGACGAAATCAAGAAAATGCTAGTCTCGAATCTGTTTCTCACCTATTACGATCTATCTTTACCCATTGTAGTAGCATCAGACGCTTCAAACTACGGCATTGGAGCAATTATTTCTCACATCATGCCGGATGGATTTGAGAAAGCCATATCACATGCGGCTAGATCATTAACTACAGCAGATGCCACAATTATTCGTCGTACCTGCAAGCAGCTAAAAGTTCAAAGAAGTGTGAACCACAACAATGAGAGAGGCCGCACGCAGATTTTGCCAGCCCAATACGAGGAAGAATGTTTCTAGTCATAGTGGATGCACACGCAAAATGGCCACAAATCTATGCCATGGCAAATTCCACAGCGAATGAAACAATTAGCAAGTTATCTGAACTGTCTAGATGCTTTGGAGTTCCGGAGACTTTAGTGACCGATAACGGCTCACAACTCACTGCAGAATCATCCAAGCACTTCTGCAACATTAATGGGATTGTACATATACGCTCTCCATCCTATCACCCTCAATCAAATGGACAGGCAGAACGCACATTCAAAAGAGCACTACTGTAAGAGAAAGGCGAGGACACAAGTCAGGTAATTACGAGATTCTTAACAGCTTATAGAACTACGCCTAACCCTATCGTCCCATATGGAAAATCCCCTGCTGAAGCGATGCTCGGAAGAAGCATCCGAACTATATTCGACGCCATGTTGCCACCTAAACCAATGGTTGAACGCAGACAAAATCAGAATATCCGGAGTTTTAACGTGGATGATAAAGTGCTCGTCAAGTCATACATTGAGAAAAATCGTTGGAAACCGGGAGTCATTAACAAGAGAATGGGAAATGTTTTGTACAAAGTGTGTGGGAATTTCGTAACGTGGATTAGACACATCAACCAAATACACCGAGAAAAAGGACGCTAAACACGGTAGATAGTCGAGTGAGTTTTCCGCTAGAGATAATTACATATACTCCAATGGCAGGAACTCTAACAGACACTCATAGACGCTGGATACCAAGAAAGTTCGAACGCCGCGGAAAACCAGTTATCAAACTGCACGTAGACCCGAAGAAAGTCTTATTTTTTGAAAGGGGGAAAGTGTTGGGAGATCCAGAAAACTCGAAAAAAAGCCAACAAAGGCTCTGAAAACACTGAGAAGCATCTTATCCAATCAGCGTCCACTAGAGGTTTTGCCAGAAACATCTAGAAAGTGAAGAGTCACATGTCGAGTTTCTGATTGGAAAATTACTTACACTGCTACTGTGTTTAGTAGCATTCCAGAATTTTCGGGAAACCTAAGGACTTCTAAAATACCATAAAACCCTAGGATTTCTCTACATAAACGAACCTTTGGAATAGTGTGTTTCTTACATATTTCGCGCCTTTTCTCTCGTGTTCAAGTCGCTACGTAGATCTAGCCTGGGGGTTACCAGATGTGCTTAGGAACCAAGTCTAGCGTTCAATTAGAAAGACTTGTCAAATAGTCTGAGGGTTACGTGTAGAGCGGTTAATAAACAGGAACCTCTCTTAGATCTCTTCGGTGGTCCCCTCCCCTTCTGGTCTTTGCAGACCATTTCTAAATGTGCCAACAAAGCTTTCCACTTTGTCATTGGTTTGGGGATAGACCGGAGGTGTTCGGATATGATTGATTCCATTCTGCCTACAAAATCGCGAGAAGATAGCTGACGTAAATTGTGTTCCATTGTCGCTAACTATTAATTTTGAGACCCCAAAACGACTGAATAATTGACGTAGTTTTCTGACTGTGCAGCCTGAATTTGGGTGTTCCATGAAAAAAATGTTTTGTCACTTGCTATATGCATCAACTACCAGAGGGTAAGTTTGTCCATGAAGTGGACCAGCAAAGTCCAAATCTATACACTGCCACGGAAACCTTGCACCTATCCTTTTTTGCAAGTATCGGGGTGTCCAATGATGAATACGACGCGTCGTAGACATCGTTAAATGGTATATCCATTATTCCAAGTTTTTTTAGCATATCTAGACGAAGTTCAAGGTTTGGCCGTTCAGTCAGATAGCATATTCCTTTGCAGTTAGTCCCATTGTAGGGAAATTCACACTGTAATTCGCCAACCAATTTTAGCACTCCTTCTGATGAATTTTTAGCAGTTTTCTTAAATGGCTTTATTTGCGGTTTCTCAAGCAGGATATACGTTTCTCCAGACACTAAGGTGATATCGGACGCCGTGCCAATCTGAAGACGAGCTAATATGCCGTTAATCCGGATAGTAGCATACTTTCTCCGAATGTCATAGTTCGTTTGGAAGGCTGCTACCAGAGAATGAGATTTAGATTACACTAATTTCATCACATGTCGAGGATGTATATATTTGTTCTTGGGCTGGGACGTACGATTCAGTGGACAATGACCTTCTTTATATCCACGTCTGTTCCACACCTGACATTTATGCTTCCTGGATGGGCAGAATCATACATAATGCTAATCACCGCATAACCAACAGTCAGTTGTTAGTTTGTTACGAGTTGTTCTTGGCTTCTGAGCTTTTAACCTGGTAATAGCACTGAAACTATTGCAAGTTAAATTAGGACTTACCTGTTCAGTTAACTCATTGTTGTGTCTGATGTTTTGTAGCCGCTTACACTCATCTGTCATTTTCCTGAGTGTGACGTTTGGATCTTGATTCAGTCGAGTTAAAAGTTGAACAAGTCTCATACTCGGACAAAACGACCATCTTTAGATCAGAAGCACTATAAGCAAAGATGAATGGTAACTAGAAGTGGAATCGAGGGTGCGCGTTTCGTCCTATTTGAGGCTCGCCAACTAGATGTACCTGCATCCCAGAGTCGATGTGCACTCGGGGACTTCATCCCATTGTACAAGCTAGTGGCCATCTGGACTCAGTAGCTAAGCCTACAACGCGAAGGGTCCGAGTCCCGGAGTGAACGTCAATCTTGAAATGCAGGCACATACAGCTAACGAGCCCCAAATAGGATGAAATGAGCATCCTGGATTACACTGTTAGCCACCATACATCTCTGCTTAAAGAGATTCTTGTTGTAGATCACAGGACTAATCAAGTTCTAGCGATCAGAAAAGAGAAATAATCGAAATTAAAGAACATATAAACAATAAAATACTAATTAAACTTACAATTTTATCAATATTGAATCGTTCATGCATACGCCTAGCGTTTACGCTAGTTCTGATAGATTCCCAATTGAATATAGGATCAGGAAAAACAATTGGAGAAAAATGATCATCATCTTGATATAAAGCTGATCCACTAGGAGGATTGTCTTTAGCAGCATTAAGCTTTTCTAGAAATTCACTACTGTCCTCATTGTTATTATTATTAGTCTGATTATATGATTGAATAGAATGATTCCGTTGACATTGTAATAAAATAAATGAATTCACAGAAAATAATTTACTGATTTGACACCAATTTACATGTGATAATATGAAATTCTTAGAAAGCATAAGTTAATCTGTTTTTAAAAAATAAGGAAATACAAAGTTGTTTTTTTTTTAATGAATTTTTTGGCATGTCCAGTCATAAGTGAATCTAGACAAGAAAAGTAGATAATAAAATTAAAACAAAGAAAACGGAAAACCTTATTTATATCCTATGATGTATAAAAACGATTACAAAAATAAGAGATCTACTCCTCCTATGCGCTGCATACTTGAATTATGCTTCCTAGATATTCACTAACCTTAGGATGAGATGAAAAATCCTAGCACTTTGACCAAGATATGTTTACTTCTTTTAGAAAATTTACCTTCAGATGAAATTGTCTTAAAAAGAATAATGTAACATTGTGATATTTTCTAAAATCTCTTGAAACACAGTTTAATAAATCAAGGGTTGACTAATGAATTTTAGTAGTATATTCGTTGCTACATATCCATTATTAGAAGTATCGGTACTAAAAAAGGAGAAAATATGATAGGACGGACACGTAGTTAATTGAGTACCCTAGTCATCGTTTATTCACACCATTTACAAAAAAAAATGTTGAAATTATACAAACAAAAATAAATAAAGATCACTGGATTGATACAATGTATAGAACTGAGTGCGATAGTCTTAAAAGCTCATAATGTAAACCTCAATGATGGAAGCTCGATGCTATTCTATTTAACAGTTGAACAATTAGAAAATATAAATTATATCGAAATAAGCTTATATCATTCTACTGTTTAGATTGAAACTGGAGGTCTTTCAATTAGCATTACTTTGCTATTAACCGCTAAAATATTGATGTATCACGTAAATAGTAGATCTATGGTAACACTATGATTTTCTTCTTATGAAAAATAATCATCAAACATAAACTACCTTAAACTTCAGTCGGTTGATTAGGAAGTAACGTGTTTAGTTAGAACTGATGTGGTAGAAAAAGGAACCATAAATTCGTATCCATCTTTTCACATTTGTATATGAAGTGTTTTTCATTACAATCATTTAATGAGTCTCTCGCTTTTATCATGTTCGTATGATGCGTATGAATTAGTTCAAATGTCAAAATCTACACATTTCTTACATATGGAACTAACCTCTAAGAGTGAATAGTGAGATTTTCATCCACATTCTTCTGTAAAAAACAGAAGCCCAGTTTTTAAGTCTATGTCGAAATAGTATACGTTTCCATGAATCCTTAGAGCACTCATTTTTTAATCTTCAAAAAGTTTCGGGCATTTCGCCTTCCATTTAACAAACGAGCGTTATATAAAAAGTACAATTTTCACTGAGGATTTTATTTCAAGCTCCAACACTCACTTCATTAGCTTTTTCATCCTAAAAGTTGGAATACGCAACAGTGGTGTGTTCATAGATCTACGTAAGTAGCTTTAGATTAGTTAAGGATAGATGACCTCACACGTTTGCTCAAAGTTACAATTTCCAGAAATCGAAATAAACACACTACTTAGTTACAAATCGGTAGCATATTTCTTAAATTAAAAACTTAAAAAGAAGAATCACATGCAATAAATATTGTCAGCATCGTTTATGTACAAATAACTTAATTGTTTTTAGAAAAAAAACAGATATATGAACGAAGAATATTCCTTTCAACAAATTCTCCTCAGATTCTACAGTTAATCATCCAAACTTAGAATTTCAGTGGCCAGGATTAAGACAAATACATCATTTAAAACCATAGCATTTGAATCTAGGATTATAAGCAGAGATGGAGGGCGGCTAAAAGTGAAATCCAGGAAGCGTATTGCGTCCTATTTGAAAAACGTCAACTAGATGTACCTACATTCCAGAAATGAAATTCACTCCGTACCGTTCGCTCCAAACAGCAAATACAAAAATGAATTTCGGATTGTTTGTAAAATAATATAAAATTGTTACGGTGAGTAATATGTAATATTAACTTAAATAAGTTAATACGTAAAACGAAACTGGAAGATTAATGAATAGGGTAGATATAGATAACATAAAGTCAAGGAGGAATAATAATCCAATTACAAATCAGAATAAATATCTCGTCAAGGGCTACGTAACACGACATGATATTAGCTATTTATTTAAACACAAGCATTGGCACAAGGAGGCACCAAATATATATGCACCACATAAACCATTCGATTTGTGTGAGAACTGGGATACTGCCCGAGTGCCAAAACCGAAGCAGGTGATTCTCTTAGGGGGCCACACCCGGAGCGTTCAACCTAACGGTCTGATCCACAAGGCAGTGGAGCAACGTCAGGAGATGCAGTCCCATGGTAGCCGATGACCAATAATTGGTTCGTACGCCATTTGTTCCTTTAAGATACTGGAGTCCATGTGCACCATTGGTTTGGAACCAGGGTTTTCCAACTCCCCTAGGTGAACTCTCCGTGTCCATCAACCCCGTTAAAGCGCCGGACATTCGCTTTTCGTCCTCTCAATTTCGTAAACAACACCCCCCCTCCGCGAGAAGGTAGTGAGCAGGACTTCCTTGGCAGTGGTTGTATGCACGTGGTCATGTGAGAGCATTTCGAGAGGAAGAGCTGACTCTCCCCACTCTCGGCCGTACCAGGCATTTGGGGACCAACACTCTCTGATCTATTAATGTGAATACCTCAAACTTAGAAATCGTTGGTATTCACTCCGAAACTCCAACCGAGTACCATTCGCTTCAAACGCCATCGAGTTGTGGACTTAGCTACTGAGTCCGGATAGCCACTAGCTTGTGCAATGGGGTGAAGTCCCCGAGAGTACACCGACTCTGGGATGCAAGTACATCCAGTTGACGAGCCTCAAGTAGGACGAAACGCGCATCCTCGATTCCACTTTTAGCCACCATTCATCTCTGCTTATAATGCCTGTGATTTAAGGAAATATGGGGGCGGTCAGCACAGGATGCACATATACCAACAAGAGACTAATCAATTTAAGTCCTAAACATCAATGAGATGATTCAAAAAAAAGTACAAGTTTTATTATTCACCATTTGACCTATCAAACTAGATACAACAGTCGTCTTTTTTCGAATACTGGTGAACTATAGGTCCAAACACAAAGGGTATTTTGTGGAGATATGTTAGCGTTTCATTACAAACGGCTATCAGCTAGAAAACAATTGTAAACCTTGGAGGATTAGACAACTACTTTATTCCGAACTAAGTCAAAACAAATGTTCAGAGACTATAAATTTTCATTGTAAACCATCACGAAAACTACATATACTCTGCTAAGATGACTTGGTAAAATACAACTGACCAACTGAAAAACAAATAAATTAAAAGAATTATGCAATAAATTTAAAGATAAAAACAAATTCTGATGATCCAAAAAATTTATTTATCAGGTATTTAGATAAAAAATAGTCAAATGTACATAGGACTGAGAAGAATTTTTAGTTTATTTTTTAGGATGCAATTTAGGTGGATAATAGTTTTCTTTCATGTTCTTTCATGTTCATCTAAATAACGATAAACTCGACGGAGTTTTTCTTTGCGTTTTTTATGTTTTGTTACATGTTTTACAACCTCTGTTTGGTTTGATAATATTGTTGAATGCACTGAATTCAAGCGTTTAGCGTGACTTAATAGACGCCAAGGTTTTTTGACTGTACCATCTTCTAAGATAAATTGTGTTGTCCCACTACTAATGCATGATAAATTGCTAACAGTCTCAACTGAGCCAACAGTACTCCAAGATGCATTCGATGATACTTCATCATCGATCTTTGACTTTTCTATGTTAGAACGTAAAATAGGTACTTGCTTATGAGATTTAATAAGTTCGCGTGCAGGTTGATCCTTTATGAAGATAAAAATGTCAGAGTACATGAACATATTATTTAAAAAGCAAAATAACAATTAGTGTATAAATCAATAACTTTAGAATAAGGATTCAGTTTCCATTACAGACAACAAAGATTGCCATTTTCAATATGAAAGAAGAATCTTTTTTCCAGTTTACTTGTCTTTGTAAACTTGATTTAAAGGTTTTAAAAAATCACAGAGCAATTACAGCTGTTTTTGATCCCTGCATATACTTAATAAATAGCCATGTCATTCAGGGTCTCTAACCATCGGTTGCTATCATCTCGCGGTCCCCAACCAGGCAGTCTACACCTACCAACATGGCTCAGTCCACTTGTCAGTGACTTCATGGACTTGTGCCATGTTTTGGTTTGGCCGCCCCTAGCTTTCTTCCAACCTACTCCTATACCACTGAACATCGCACGTTGAGGCAGTCGGTCGTTGGGCATACGTAACACGTGTCAAAGCCATCTCAACTGATGAAGTTTCACTACTTCATCAATTGATTTAGCATCCTTAACTAGTACCCGTTTCCTAACAACTGCGTTACTTACTCGATGGTCCCACGATATACGAGCAATATTTCGAAGACACCTATGATCAAATACTAGTAACCCACGAATATCCTCTACTCTTACCGGTCATGTTTCACTGCCATAAAGTGGGACGGAACGAACTGCTGCACAGTAAACCCGTCCTTTGGTTCATAGACGGATATCTCGCCTACGCCATAAATGATGCAAGTTGGCAAAAGCTAGTCGAGCCTTTTGTATCCGTGCTGAGATTTCGTCACACACCAGACCATAAGGGCTGATGAGACTTCCAAGATAAGTGAAGCGGTCGACACACTCAACTACTTCACTCCCTATCACTAGTTCTGGTGTCGATGTAACCCAATCCTGAAGCAACATTTTGCATTTCGAGGGTGAGAATCGCATCCCGAACATGCTTGCATTGTTGCTTAGAGTGGTCAGAAGACTCTGCATTTTGTCAGCGTCTTCACCAAATAAAACTATGTCATCGGCATATTCTAAGTCAACAAGTGAACCTCGTGGTAGAAGTTCAACCCCTGGAAATTTAGATGAGGAGAGTGTTATCTCTAAAAGTACGTCGACCACAAAGTTGAACAAGAATGGGGAGAGTGGACAGCCCTGACGAACACCACTTGAGGTAATCAATTCTGATGACAGTTCGCCATAAGCTCTCACTCGACCAGTTGTGTTCGAGTAGAGAGCCTGTATAAGGTCAATGTACTTCTTTGGTACTCCTTTCAGTGACAAGTCAGTCAGTCAGTCAGCTACAACGTAGGACCAGGCACATATGTGCATCGGTCCAGGTTGCCATACCGCATCAGCACAACAAGATGAACACCGGATTCATAGCAGTGGTTAGGTCAAAGGTAGTAATATGTAAGAGAAAGATTGCATATAGAGATATAGTACAAGAAGAAAGAATTGGTTCGTAGAAAGAAAGATATGAAGCGATTTTAATCTCAGTGACAAACGCTGCCATAGAACCTCAAGATCAACAGAGTCGAATGCCGCCTTAAAGTCGAGAAATACTACCATTGTGGGGCGTCTGAATGTGTGTCTGTGTTCTAGAACCTGACGTGGTGTGAATATCTGATCTATACAACCACGTCCAGGTCGAAAATCGGCCTGGTTTTCTCTAGTCTGCTCTTCACGAGCTTTAGTTAGGCGTCGAAGTATTATTGAAGCTAATATTTTAGACACTATATTAGTCAAACTGATTCCTCTGTGATTGTCACGAGAGGACTTTCGTCAGTTCTTATAGACTAGCACAATCAGTGATTGAGACCAGTCAGATGGGATTACGTCCAGCTTCCAAATTCTACCTAAGACCTCAGTTAATCTCACTGCTAATACTGGACCACCATCCTTAAAAATCTCAGGAGTAAACCTGTCAGGACCTACTGCTTTCCCTCGCTTCAGACTTCCTATAGCTTTTTCAACTTCATAAAGAGTCGGAGGACCTAAATTAACTTGCCATTCAGGTTGACTGGGGATCGTGGGAAACCGAAGTGTGGCTGAAGGCCAGTTGGACTGATCTCTAAAGTGTTCTGCCCATCGATCCAATCTCCTGGATTGAGAATGTATAATATGTCCATCTTTCTCTGAGATTGTTTCGCTAACTGTTGGATTCCTAATACCGGTTTCCTTAACAACTCTGAAAAATTGTCTGCTATTACCTGTTGCCGCTGCCTTTTCCATTTCTATTGCTTTCGCTACCCACCACTGTTCGCGATCATTGCGTAGGCTTCTTGTCAGCTTGCGCTTAAGCTGACTCCGCTCTTCGTTATGTTCACGAGAAGCAGAATCTGGGCTTCCAGATACACGAAGTGTGAATCGAGTTGATTCTTTGTTTTGACATGGTGATGTCAAATGAATGACGCCATTCGGATCCTGTATGTGTTTCAGAGAGGTAGCACACATCGATGGCGCGAGATTCTAAAGTCCTAGCTAAGGAAGCTTATTGTCCTATTTGGCACAGTGTTCGGACGTTATAAGCTCCAACATGAAGTTTAGAGCGTGGTTTCAGGAGACCAGGAATAACGTTCCACGTACTCGAATCGTTTGCCCTAGCGGTGCGAGGTGATAAAAGGACGTGAGAAGGGTTAGTCGGGGAGATAAGAGTGGTATTAAGAGGTGTAGGAAGGATTTGAATGTGACCAACTTGGTCTCGTGTGCTTTTACGGGTATGAGGGTAGGTGTCACTTCCCAACTGCCCACACCGTAGAAGGGTATTTCTTGAGGAACCTGAAAAGGAAGTCGGATTAATGCTGGCCTTAACGACCTGGGAGCGTGACCGCAGAGCCCATGGGGCAACTGCTTGAGGCCGGTCGCGCACGGCCTTTTTGTGGGAGGTTTTTGACGTGTTAGCTCCGTTCTTCAAAGGGCATTACCGCCGGAGACGGAAATTCGTGAGATAACGTGAGGTGTGATATTTTTAGGGTCGACCTTTTCTAACTCCCTTCCTCCCTTGTGAGAAGGCAGCATCGCTGTCATACTGGTTGTTCGAGAGAAACATCTTACTGCTGTCACACCCCTCTACAGTCAGCAGTACGACTTCGCCCTCAGACCTTGAGTTGCTGCTTTTAATCTTACCATTCTCCAATCGACCTGCCCGGCATGGTAGAACCTACAGGAACATATGTTACAGCCAATATAGTCCGGTCGGGTCATCACGATAGGCAAGCCAGACCACCGCGTCAAGGTAGCAGCTACGGTCGGGGTAAACCCCTTGAAAAAACACTGGTTTGTATCGAGAACACAACATACTATTATATTCATATTCCGTCAAACATTCAGAAAACTGTTTATATTACTTTGTGATTTTATTCTTGAAAATCGGAATTTCTGCTTATAAATACCAAATATTTCCACGCGAACAGTCTTTATTTTTACCGTTATCAAAGACGCTTCTATCCCATTTTCTGATTACTCTGTTATTAAGCTAATTTTTTAACTAACTTACAAGAGCATTGCCCCGGCTGCCTGCTCATTACCACTTTAAATAGTTACCTCAATAAATATTATAAGTACGGATTATATGGAACTAGGAGAATACGATGCTGCATGCGACCAATAAATAAAAGTTATGATTGATTCACTCCATAGATGTTGTATTAATACTATACAAGGTTTCAGTTTAAATTGATAGCTAGCAAATGTGTTTCTTATGATCTAAGTGGAATTAAGCATACCAAAACATTAACGCTTGAGCAGATAAAGCTTTCTGTTGACGTGAGGCAATTAGCATACATATCTAAACAAACCTGTTTAAACGCCAATCGATCAAATTCAGTGATAACTTCATCAATACACTGACTAGACGCTCGTTTCTGTTTTTCATCTAATCGTTTGAGAAACCGTTCAGCTTTAGATTGATCAGGAAAATAACCAACCCCGCAGGGTAAACTATCATTTCGCCCAAGCGATTGAAAATCAAGAGGATCTGTTGTGTTTGGAGGAGGATGACAATACAAAAGTCGACCCTGTTTATAAGAGTAAAATAAAACAAATGATTTATACAGTTTACTTACATCGTAGGTATATAGATTAGACAATTATCCGTAAGATGATATTCACTCACTATTATTATTACTATTATTACAATTATCACACATAACTCATCATTGTTTACCGTGACTATTATTTGTTCACTCTATTGACTGTGTAGATCATACATCTATTTTGCAATTACCAAAAAAATAAAAACAAATTAGTTAAATTACTCTACCTTCAGAACTAAGATTCAGGTTTACACACGCTTTCACATAGTTAGATTTAAGCAAACAGATAACACCACTAGTTCTCAATACAAAATGCATGGTTCGAAGATCCAATGTTCATGAACCTAAACCTGGTTGTCAATTTGCCCCAAATTAAATCAAGTTTTCATTCTTCATAGATAAATATATATTAATATACTGTAAAATACATACAAATGAAGTTTCAGAATAAACGATAAAGTCGACTATAAATCTTTAATAACATTTTCATGACATTTAAGATTGAAAATATACACCATATACAAATACATTAGAAAGGAAGTGTGATAGGTTGCTCTTCTTAATCCTCTCCTTTTAATGAGTCACATAAATGTAGGAAATCCGGATGACAAACTTACCTTTACATAATCTTTTAAAATGATTCTTGCAGAACGATCATAATTTGGATTCCCTTTAGCTGTCATAAAACCATGCATAACTAAAGGATTGGAAGAAAAACAAAGATATCAACAAATAAACTTTTATAGACATGGAAGGATATTTCCGATATATATATATATGGAGAAATATAAGAATATAATTTCCTAACCCGTTTACCCAATTCAGTTTGTAAAGTATGTCTAAACATCATACGATAAATCTGACTCTAAGCCTGGTTGCATCAACATTTGTACCTAATTTCTGAATGAACGGACAGTATAAATGAATCACATGAAATATTATGGCGGAAAAGTATTAAACTTATAAAGAAACTAACATGCGTGAGCAGCTAATAATTCATGTGGTGTCAGGATGCGGTTTAAACTATCATTAACTTGTGCATTTTGAAATTTAGGAAGGTTGATTCCATACATTGTCTCTAAAATATGACGTGGAATTCTTTCACAAACCTTAAATATGAAAAACACAAAAAGGTTTCATGTTAATTAACATAGAGGTTAGTGAAATTCTTGCACTGCAAAAAGATGTAAAGATGAAGTTATCTGAATAAACTACATTTCTGAATACAAACATTAAATAATTACAGAGATTTCTACTTGAACTACTTCAAGTCAGTATGACAACTATGCTGTATACTAGTGGAAGTAGCATCAAAGTATGAAAAAAGGAAATCCAGTTTTAACTTTAACATTTTAAGCAATAGACAAATAAGAACTTAACATAAGAAAAGTACGTCTATACTAAAACAAACTAATAGTGAGACAAGTGGACAAATTCACAAAGTACTAATTACTTCCCATTTCTAAGACTAATACTCCCTATGGAATCTATTAAGACTTTGGTGTAGCATATACAAAGTGTTTTCAATTTGTATTACCAACAGAATATAGGAGTGGACACGTTAAAACTAAACCCATGAGTAAAAAGCTCACATGACTAAAAGTTATACAAAATTATGACGCAATTTTCAATTGTAGTTTACCCTGTTTTCAAATATTTGACAAGCAAGATTTACAACCTAGTATGTAAATATGTACACGTTTGATAGAACACATCACTTTTAATAACACTACTTAATCCTTATCTTTTGCTAACCATTGTATTAGCTCGGAATTTATCTTGGTTAAGGCGGTTCAAAATTCGATGAATTTAATTTATATAAGGCATTTAGCTACTGATTTTGTCAGTCTTGGTAATGTGAATTTCAATGAGAAACCCAGTTATAAACAAAATCGAAGAATGATTTATTTTCAAGAAGGGCAACATATTTTATCATCTTAAAGCTAGAGCATCATTCATTGATACAAAATAAGTTACATTTAAGTAATTTCCTCAATACTTACTTTTTTATAATAGTTATCATTATCTCACATAAAAACAGCACATAATTTGGCAAAAATGTGCAACAGTTTGAGTCGATATACTTAATATTAGCACATTTAGAGTACATCAGCAAGAGAAAGGTCAAAGGAGTGAAAATAATGATGATATCAAATAACTAAAGGATTATAAAAAAAGGTGAAACCTGATATAAAAGTTTTGAAATAATAAAACGACTACGGTAAAGAAGATATACATATTCTCCGAAGAAATGGCTTACAGTGAGTCACTAGACGTTAGGAAATTAAATTTTCCACTAATTGGGATATTAAAAGTATATCGTTGTTATTAGTGAGACAAACACTGGCTGATTTTACGCTGCTGTAACCTACGTTATGTTACAAAAATCCGCCCACCACAAGTTTCGGTAACCTAGCATGGCATAAGTAAAAAATTTATACTTCCCTACCCAACTTAAACAGTTAATTAAAGGTTTCACAGACAAACAGGATGTCTTTAACTCATCAATTCTGATCTACTCCAGCTACTCCTACACCAGCCTCATTTGTGAAAGCCAATAGTAAGTGACACATCCTGACCACCTCAGATGAATTAGCTTCACAGACTTATTGATAGTTATAATAACCGTATGTATTATTATATGATCAACCAACAAGCTAACAGCTTATACTACAAGTTATAAGTATTTGAATGTCTTCAAGTGACGGATAATAATTGTATCACAGGACACTTTTAGTGAAGCTGAGTCCTCTAAGCTAGATGGTTTATTACGATTTCATGATCCCTAAAGACAACATTACCAGCCCCGATTTTATTGGGCTATTTATTTTCTGTTCGTTTTCGATGTCTAGGACTGAACTACTTGGAATTCCTACAGGGAATACTAACACTTGGCTCTCAAAACATTTACGTAATGAATTCAAAATAAAATGCAACTCATTTCTCGAATTCTATCAAAGTACAATCTAATGCTACTGTTAGCGGGACATAGACTGGATTAAAGCATGCTCAATGCGTGATTGTTTCGGTGCACGCTGATTGGCTAATTCTTGTCCAATCAGCGTTAGCCAATACTTAGTGAACACTGTAGAAATCTCATGTGGAAAACTATAAATATACTAACGTTTTCCCTATTACTTACTTACTTGCTTCTTACTTCCATCTAACTTTGTTATTTGGAATATAATCTCTTTCCTGTTCAACCGTGTTCTGATTTGGGGACTTGTCGAGTGAATCGGTGTCCGAGAATACTAAGCAACAGGAATAGCTGGGTCATAACCGTAAGAAAGAGATTATAACAGCTTCCATAAGAACCGTGTGAAAATATATTCTTTAAATATGGTATGATACATGGAACGTTTACTTACTAAACCGACAGGAGCTAAATAATCACGCATCTCATCGATTGATAATATGCCAGCTACAACTAAGTCCGCTCTAGAGTAAGCAAAAGATGGCATCACCAATCCCGGGCAATCGCAAAGTATCAAGTCTGATCGGACATAAATGGTCTAAAAGCCAAGAAAAGAAATTAATTCATTCATAACATCAAAATAATGAATTTTTCTGTCACCGCGGATAAAAATGAGCATAAAATATCTACCTGGAAATGTTTGGTTTTCCCAGGTGTAACTGACACCGGAACCTTTTTATGACCTAGTATCGCGTTGAGTGTACTAGATTTCCCAACGTTTGGGTAACCAATGAAGCCAACTGTCAAAGGATCCTTTGATTGACGACTGGAGGGACTGAATTTTTCGGTTAACAAATTTATTAGCTCCTCAACTCCAACAACCTTAGCTCCCGCCTCACCATTTTGTCTACTTAGTAGAAAAAATAAAGATGAAATTACAAACAGGACGTTTTTAACAATATCTTCTCAGATGTACACTGTGAACTAGACTCTTTGGATAAAACTATAAACTGGTTTACAAAGGAGCGTACTGAATTCCAATTTTCGTGTAGACAATAGAACTAAAATACGTGTAAATAACTAGTGAGAGTAGGAGAAATGATTACAGTTCGAAGTAACCTGAGTTGAAGGCAGATACCAGCCTAAGACTATTGGATTATGAGTTTCTGTAAGACAAGCTACTGAATACTGTGCCAAATTATTTGTATGAATATAAGCATCATATCAGTTCCCAAACCACACCTCCTGAATATCTAGCTGGTAGAAGAATGAACCAACAGTTTTGTGGTATATAGTTGTTGTCTTCTCGTGACTTTCTATAATGCTAAAGTTTGCCAGATGGATTTATAGCACATAATTCGATTAGATAGAAGACTAAAACTATCACTCACAAGTAACACAAAGATGAAAAATTATGTTCACTGGTTAGTTTACTTGAAATATTTGTTTCGCACAGCATAGAGACGATGTACATTATGAATGAAGCGACTCGACAATATTACGGTAATACAAAGGCGAAGAAAGACAATGAACAATATAAATGATAGGAAACACGACCGACCATGATTCATATACAATGATCCATAAAATGACTGAACTACACCCTAACTTACCAGACTAAACAAAATCTATAGAAGATAGTGTCCCAACTCATTTATACCACCACTTAATAAAGTCAGCCAGACACATATATGCGTCGGTCCACTTAATAAAACTAACAGCTACATTATTTATTTACATCAGTGCCAAAAGCAGGAAACTGTTTAATATGAAAGTAACGTAGATATATGATTCACGAGAAGAGGCAAAGTAGGAGGAAGTTATGCTGGTGAACAATGGATATAACTGTGTTTTAGTAAGAATATGACGAGGTCTCATTCTGAACCACTTTGAGAGAAATTCGGGATCGATACGACAGGCTGAACAATAAACTAAAGGTTATCTATGTATACACATCGCATACAATTTGTACATTAAAATATTGCATATTGAATTAACCTTAGTTCATCAATATTTTTAACTTCGTACCACTTTCGTTTCTACAACTTTAACGCAGATTTTCAGAAATAAGTAAAATTAATTACCTTTATTTTCAACTACACAATAAGAAACTAATGTGTCGTAAGTGAGAAAATCAATAAAAGGAATAGAATGTACCTTATAATAACTTATAATAACACAGTTTATACATAGACGTTTTTACATCTTAGTGGCTAACGTACTTGGATTGAGCAGATGTTTCAGCATCAATAACATAGCATCTAACAGAATTGGAGGAGAACTCGGAAATCGGTTTACTGATTTCTTTTGTATTGATTGTATTATCACAAGGATCACTTTTTTTACAATCCAGTCTATTCGGCAACTGTTTAGTGCATCTGACAACCTTAGGGCTTTCCTCGTTAGTTTCTTCATGAATAGTTACTGTACTGGCCTCACTATCAGTGTCTGACTCGGTTTGACTTTCCTCAGAATTACTCTCGGATTCCAAACTGGTTCCATTAATTATTTTGGTTGAAATATCACAAGGTTGGGTCATATTGGTAGGACTTTGTCCTAGCATCTGTTCACTGGCTAGTGCAGCCGACCAAAATATGGCGTTAATACCAATAGTTCTAAAATACTCTGCCCATAAAGCTCTGTAATAAAATTAAAAAAGGAACATCGGAAATCCTAAATGAACACATTCAAAGCAGGAACCAGTTATTCACTATAGAAAGACAGTACAAGAAGATACGTAAACACGAAATAACAACCGTCTGTTGTTCCAAATTAAAGCAATGCTTATGTTATTGTTAGCAATCATACATTTGTGATACATAGATCGTAGTATTCTATAAGTTCAGAAAAAAGCAACTACTGTCATTACGTAAAGTAATTAGCAACATAAGTTTTTGTAAACTCAGTAGTGCGTTTGTGCAATAACAACATGCCGCCTTCAATAGACAAATGTTTAAAGCAATGGTATCCACATACACTAGTAAAGAGTTGAAAATCATTCCCAAAAGCTTAGTGAGCTTATCAATCAAGCTTGTAGTGATACCCAAATTGAATAACTTAAATGTTTCCTACAAATATCAAGAATCATTACGATAACAAAAGAAAGTATAACATGACACTTGACATATACAACAACTCATTCGGTTTAAATGTGAATTGTAGATTTGATTGAGATAACATTAAATAAGTAATAACAATACAAAAATATGGAATAGTAAAAATTCAAGACAAGCCATATTTGGAAAAACCTTTGAATAGGTAATGAACTAGATTAGTTTTTGTGCATTGTAAATCGGTAAAATTACACATCGTTTTTTAAAGAAGAGACCGAATATACCACCAGTTGTCCTGTAACGTCCCTAAAACTTATAGTCATTATGTAGCATTTATAAGTTCTGACACTTAACTCATCCAATAGTTTTCTTAGAAATATTATTATTTAGGGGAAGGAAAAATTAGACATCAAGTGTTCGGAAAGTATAATAAATAAAAACTTTGATTTAAGCACTATTTTTGCTTAGAAGTTATCTTATTGTCTTGCGTCTGCTCTGTAAATATTAAATACACTACTAATAAGATTCACTTGAACGTTGTTAATGACTGAACCAAAATGTGTACAAAATTTTAAAGGTCAGATAATGCAGATGAACTAAAAAGATTTTAATTACCGCTAATTCTTTTAGCATATATGACCCAGGAAGACACAATGGATAAACTCACCTTTGTTGATTTGTAAGAAAGTCAGACTTATTAACAAGAACCACAGATGTCTTGTTCGAATCAACTTCATGAACATAACTATCTAAATCACTCGAATAATATAAAAGAGGTTGACGAGCATCGACCACCTGAACAACAACGTCGCTACGTTCCACGACACGCCACAGCTGACGCCAGAACTCCAAATTCCGCTCAAAAGGAGTAAGAACGATGCCGTCTTTTTCTTCAAGCCTACAATACAAATGGTAGTTCAACTTTTCAAGATAATTGGAAAAGGTCAAGTGTTCATAATAAAAGTACCAAAATCATCCCATACATCATGTCCATGAACAGGTTTTTAAATAAGTATGAGTTATCCAGTCATCTACCACGTGAGACCGGGTACATATATGCATCGGTCCAAGTTTCCATACCTTATTTTTTCGGAAACTAAGTTACGCCTGTTTATAATTAAATAAGCATTAATATTATTCATAAACAACAGTAACTTAGTTGCCAACAAAATCTTAGGATAACGTTTCCTATTACTCAATAATGATGGGAATATACCAACCTGATGTTAATAAAAAAACAAAGTAACTTTTATCAAGCTTGTTTCTCGAAAAAAAACTACACATCTCTAAGGAAAAAATGACAAATCCTGGTCTATAATAAGATAAACTCACAAAGCCAATGACCGTCTCCATTTCAAGAATTCTTCCTTTTCAAGACTATCCAACGTATCAACTGACATTTCTGGACTCCACTTAGATCTGTAGGAAGCAAATAAAAATCGAACGGTGGAACCCTTTTATTTGGAAATAATCCTATGCAAAACGATCTAAATATTAATAGGTTACTAAATGAATGAAGAATAAATTTGCTGAATAATTTTTTTACCAGTAAGTGACATATCAAATCATGGAAGCTTATTCACCGACTTAGTTATTCTCCAATATCCTTGCAACGCAACATACCTAATGAAACAATTGCACATTATTAGTGATTTTTAGGCATTCAGAAACATGTGTGTCTCTTGCGTCTACCTACCTTAACATACAAAAGCAAAATCGATAGAAAGTTAAACCTCTAAAGACTAAACCAAACAGAATTTTTTCAAGTCAACAACTCATTTTTACTATTCCCCAACAGTAATGAGAAATACTTTGTCAAAGTTAACTTTATCTAACGAGATAGAATTTATGAGACCTGAAACTAGTAAAAACATTATCAGCAACCAATTAGGTAGATTTTAAAGCAGCTCACATGAATTAAAAAGGTAAACAAACACCCCACTCAACACACACATAAATAAATATTTACTTAACTTCTGGGTATTTTGAGAAAGTCTTTATACATATTCTGGACTTCTGAAATTTTAGAGCGGTCGGTGGGAGATGGTATGCCTATAATTTCGGATGGGGTGAGAAACCTGATGTTCTTTTTCTCTAAAAACGATATGGGGAGGGTTAAAAGTCTTACGAGCTTTGAATTCATGATTGGCAAGGTTGGCAATACTAAAGAATTCATCTAAACCTGTTTGTTCTGTGACTGAATGAACAGGTAGACGGGACCAGTCCCGATCACTGTTTGTTCGAACTACGTGACGCCCCTTTTTTATAGATATAACTGACTATAAGACTAACTGATCTTTCAGAAAGTTCTGATCCCATATGTTTAACAAGAGAGCGTCCAAGACCATGCTTTCTGCCCATGTAGCGCAGCGACCTGAAATTGCAACTCTCCAAAGGACGAATCTTAAATGTCCTCATGTTTGACAAACGGATTCAAGAGCTTTTTGTTAGGTAAGTAAGGACCCAGATAACTGATGATACTAAGGGGCAATAAAAGTTTGTGGGGCTAGATAAATAGGTGAGAGAAATCGCTAGTATAAATCACTAAGAGTATATCAAGACTAATGTGTATTGGTGCAAACGGGTGGGGGGGGGGGGGGGGGGGGGGGAGTTGGGGGGGGGGGGGGGGGGGGGGGGGGGGGGGGGGGGGGGGGGGGCGGGGGGGGGGGGGGGGGGGGGGGGGGGGGGGGGGGGGGGGGGGGGGGGGGGAACAAGAAAAAAAAATGGAAAAAAACAAAAAAAAAAAAAAAAAAAAAAAAAAAAATTCTGTGGATGGGAGAGTGGGTTGTTGAATTGAGGATGAGTTGTGTTTGTTGGGGTATTGAGTGAAGGGTTGTGATGAGTGATGATTGGGTTTTTATTTTTGTTTTTTGGGATGGGGTTTAGTTGTTTTGGTATTGAAGATTTGGATTGGTAATGTTTTGGTGAAGGTTATTATGAAGGGAGTGGTATGGTTGATAATTGTAAGAATTTTTAATGGAATGTTTTGGGGATTGGGTGAATTGGGAGTTATTTGTTATTTAAGAATAGTATGGGGATTTTAAGGAGATGTTATTGGGGGAGGGAGGGAAATTTTATTTTTTGGATAGTGTCTGCTTATTCATGTTGGGTGATTGATTTGTGTTGCCGGGTGAGGTGGGTTGTGGATTGACAATAAACTATGACGAGAGTTAGACACTGATCTTAACTTTAAAAGAGTTATTTGATCAAATTATAGATTGCACCCAGTTAGTGAATGAAAAAAAGCGGGTGGATTGCCTTATCGATAGGGCAAACAATACCTCGTTTCACCCACACCGCAATCCAAGCTTTTATCCAAAGACCACCAAACAGCATTACGATATATTAAGCGAAATGATGATATAATGATATTACGGTCAGATTAAGGTTCAAGTGTTGTTCTAATGAACACTACAGATTATGTCTCTAAGATGAAGTCCATTTTTAGTGACCACACGAGATTCAAGTTAGAAAAAATTAACAAAGACTTAACTGACTCCACTGAGAAAAGTATTACAGAAGTACTCAGAGATCTACTAAAGAAGAAGATAATCGATAATCCTACTTACAATAACCTACGACCTCGGGGTCTCGTTTGCCCCACATGTATGGTTTACCGACAATACATAAACAAGATAATCCTCTTTGACCTATTCTGTCAATGGTCAATTCACCTTACCACAAAGTTGCACGACGGTTGGCAGATAAATTAGAACCACTTAGTCAACCATTAGCCACCTATTCACTAAAGGATTCATTTGTACTTGCTGAGAGCAAGAATCACATAAATATTACTGATTTGCTTATGACTTCTTTTGATGTGACATCAATTTTTACAAAAATACCACTTCTTGAGAGTATAGACACAATTTGACAGCACTGTAGCGTGGCGTCGAGTCGAGACTAACTATGAACACCGCTACAAAGAAACACGTGCCATATAGATCAGAAGGCGAAGGTCGAACGTAACCAAAGAAATCCATAAAATCCCCGAGAAGCCAAATATTAGAAGACAGTTAATGAACCAAGTCGAGATATATTTGCTGGCGATCTCGTGGCATCGAAAAGATACCGAGATCGTGCCAGGATACAAGCTTGGTTACAGAACGTAACCGAATTCGCGCGAGATTACAATCAAAGTGTAAGTATAAGAATGGAAGCACAAAATAGCTGTCATTAGCACAGTCAAACAAAAGCACATTAAAACAAGCACTGGTACAGTTGGTGATAATAATAATTGTTTTTATTAAACCAGTCGTGTTCTCGTGATAAATGTGAGTCACTACAAATTAATAAGTCATTCACTATTCCAACTCTTTCTGCATTTAAAGTTACGTCATTTACAACTGACCAATTTCAATTCATATCTTTCTTCATTACCATTAATCTATTTTCTGTTACTTCATTACATAGTCATCTAGTTAATATTACATATTACTCACCGTAACAATTTTATATTATTTTACAAACAATCCGAAATTCATTTTTGTATTTGCTGTTTGGAGCGAACGGTACGGAGTGAATTTCATTTCTGGAATGTAGGTACATCTAGTTGACGTTTTTCAAATAGGACGCAATACGCTTCCTGGATTTCACTTTTAGCCGCCCTCCATCTCTGCTTATAATCCTAGATTCAAATGCTATGGTTTTAAATGATGTATTTGTCTTAATCCTGGCCACTGAAATTCTAAGTTTGGATGATTAACTGTAGAATCTGAGGAGAATTTGTTGAAAGGAATATTCTTCGTTCATATATCTGTTTTTTTTTCTAAAAACAATTAAGTTATTTGTACATAAACGATGCTGACAATATTTATTGCATGTGATTCTTCTTTTTAAGTTTTTAATTTAAGAAATATGCTACCGATTTGTAACTAAGTAGTGTGTTTATTTCGATTTCTGGAAATTGTAACTTTGAGCAAACGTGTGAGGTCATCTATCCTTAACTAATCTAAAGCTACTTACGTAGATCTATGAACACACCACTGTTGCGTATTCCAACTTTTAGGATGAAAAAGCTAATGAAGTGAGTGTTGGAGCTTGAAATAAAATCCTCAGTGAAAAATTGTACTTTTTATATAACGCTCGTTTGTTAAATGGAAGGCGAAATGCCCGAAACTTTTTGAAGATTAAAAAATGAGTGCTCTAAGGATTCATGGAAACGTATACTATTTCGACATAGACTTAAAAACTGGGCTTCTGTTTTTTACAGAAGAATGTGGATGAAAATCTCACTATTCACTCTTAGAGGTTAGTTCCATATGTAAGAAATGTGTAGATTTTGACATTTGAACTAATTCATACGCATCATACGAACATGATAAAAGCGAGAGACTCATTAAATGATTGTAATGAAAAACACTTCATATACAAATGTGAAAAGATGGATACGAATTTATGGTTCCTTTTTCTACCACATCAGTTCTAACTAAACACGTTACTTCCTAATCAACCGACTGAAGTTTAAGGTAGTTTATGTTTGATGATTATTTTTCATAAGAAGAAAATCATAGTGTTACTGTGGTGCGTGCTACTTATATTGATATAAGTAGTATATAACGTGAGTCAAAAGAACGTAATGGCTGGCAGCAGAAGATGGAGAAGATCAAGAAAAGAAGAGCGAGAAAACAATGGAATTTGTAAGAAATCGCATGAGCAATGAAATGCGAGACAATGGATTGATGTTTGCAACAGCAACAGCCCGGTTTGATATGATAGAATGATATTTTGCAAATTAACGATTTACTATATGGTTTTTCTATTTTACCAAGTAATTCTGTAATTTGTCCTAAATACAATTTGGCTGTCCTCACCCGTGTTCTTCTTCACTACATTTGGTGTCGCTGCCTCCACTGAGGATGAAGATCCCATGGCCGAAGGAGTTTGAGGACGGAGATGTGCTGAGCTTCCTGAAGGAGTTTGAGGCCTTGGCGGAGCTGGTGGGAGTGAAGGAGCCGAAGGCGAAGTTGGTGGTGCTGGGGACGCTGCTGAGAGGCAGGGCGAAGGCGGTGTATGACAGCCTGGACGGTGCTGGCGGGAAGACCACATGGGAGGCAGTCACGGAGCGGTTGGCAGCGGAGTTTGACAGCCCAGTGGACAGAGAGGACGCGCTGCAGAAGTTCCGGTTGGCGAGGTTGCCGGTCGATGGGGACCCACTGGTGCTGGCTGTGGAGCTTACCAGACTGTTACGCCGTGCGCTGCCGAGTCTGGATGAGGAGTCGGAGGCACAGTTGTTGGCGTCGCAGTTTATCGAGAGTGTGCCTGCCACCGTCTCCCAACAGCTGAAACTGGTGAACGCAGCGCAACCGATGGATATCAGTGAACTGGCGAAGGTGACTCGTCAGCTGATGACGCGAACAGTAGCTCCGGTCGGGTGCGGAAAGCAGGAGATGAGTAATGTCGAGAAGAAGATTGAGGAGCTGGAGCGCGAGATTGCAGCAATACGAGTGAACAATAAAAGGAACGATAAATGTTACGCTTGTGGAGGGACAGGACATTGGAAGATAAACTGTCCAACAAGACGAAGACGCAGAAATGTTAGACGTTACAACGAGTGTTCTTTCTATCCTAGGAATCTGGGGATTGTTGCGTTAGTAGACAGAGGGGCAGTATATACGAGAGTGAACATAAATGAGCGAGATTTAGTTTGTCTGATCGATACAGGTGCAGCAGTATCGTTAATAGGCAAAGAACAATGTAAGAGAATCAAGCCGTGTACATTAGCTGTCCACACGATAGGAGGCCATATGTTAGAGGTGTTTGGTGTATCTAACAGTATCGTAAAAGTGGGGGATGCGGAGATAAATTTTCCGTTCGTCGTAACCACAAGCTTATCGAGACCGATATTAGGAGCAGATTTCCTAAGAGAAGTAAAAGCGATAGTTGACTTAAGAAGCGGTAAGGTGGTCACGAAATATGGTTCATTGACAATACACGAAAGTAGCGAAGTGGCTGAAATAAGAGTTGCAGCGGATGTCTCGTCAAAGAAACCAAACATTCACGAGTTATGCAAAAAGTATGCGAAACTATTCACTGGAGATGGGGAGCCGTATGGATTTTGTGACAGAGTAAAGCACGAAATACCGATAAAGAACAGTCGAGTAAATATATTTGCAACACGTCGTGTCCCGGTGCATTTAGAGGCTGAGGTAAATCGTCAGGTCCAGGAAATGTTAAAAGAAGGTATAATTGAGGAAGCGGACAGCCCATATAGCTCGCCGGTACTCTTGGTAAAGAAACCAAATGGAAAGTATAGATTTTGTGTCGACTTCAGAGAATTGAATAATATAACAGACCTGAAGCCTTGTGCAATGCCAACAGTGGTGGAAACATTAGATCGGCTACAGAATGCCACGGTGTTTACAGTGCTGGATTTACGGTCAGGTTATTGGCAACTGCCTATAAAAGAGAGTGATCGGAGCAAGACAGCGTTTACTGTACGGGATAAACAGTATCAATTTAAACGAATGCCGTTCGGGTTGGCGGGTGCACCGTTCACGTTCAGAAGATTAATGACACTACTGCTCAAGAATCTAGATAATGTCGAGGTATATGGCGACGACGTAGTTGTGTACAGTCAAACAGAAACAGATCACATCAAACATGTGGAAGCAGTCTTAAAGCGAATTGACGAATTTGGACTTCGGATTAATAAGGACAAGTCGCAGATAGCGAAAAGTAGCGTCACATTGTTGGGACATAAAGTGGGAAATGGAGAAATAAAACCATTGCCGGAGAAAATTCTTACCATAAAAAATATTGCAGTACCTAATTCGAAAAGGAAGTTGAGACAGTTCCTGGGAAGAGCGGCGTTCTACAGTCGGTTTGTCAAAAATTTCAACGAAATAGCAGCACCCTTATATAAGTTATTGAGCAGCACCAAGTTTACGTGGACTGAGACTGCCGAACAAACGTTCAACCGAATCAAAAACATGCTAGACGATCGCCAGATGACGCTTAGACTGCCTGAACCGGGAAGACTGTTTACAGTGGCCACAGACGCGAGTGATCATGGTATAGGTGCTGTGTTGAGTCAGGCTGATAGAGTGGTGGAATACGCGAGTCGCGTCCTCACACCTCCTGAACAGAAGTATTTAACCATCGAAAAGGAGTGTTTAGCGATCGTGTGGGCAGTGGAAAAATGGAGACCATACCTTTTAGGTAGACGATTTCACATTGAGACGGACCATAAACCCCTGCAGTGGTTGAAAACAGCAAGAGACCCCCGAGGGAAGTTGGCGCGATGGATGATACGCCTGCAAGAATACGATTTCAGTATCGGCCATGTTCCAGGAAAAGAAAACGTAATGGCAGATTACTTGTCAAGACCAGATATGGAAGCCGACCTGCCATTAACAGCATACGCGGTGAATAGTTTAGAGGGAGACCCATTAGAACTCGTCCGGCAGCAGAAAGCTGACCCTAACCTTCGAGAGGTAATCAGAGTGATAAAAGAGGGAGCAGACGTAGATAAACGAACAATGGACAAGGAGGTAATAACGCTGCTTCGGCAAAAGGACCGACTGAGAGTGAACTCATATGGAGTGCTGACCTGGCAGGACGATGATGAAAATTGGGTGGCGGTGATCCCGAAAGACTGGCGGCGTAAAGTGATACACGAGTGTCACCAGGTAGCACATACAGGCATCTCAAGAACGACGGACTTACTACGACAAAGTGCATACTGGCCGAGCATGAGAGACGATGTGGCTGAATACGTGTTAACCTGCCAGCAGTGTCAGCTAATGAAAAGCGATCGATACACACAACCGCCATTACAGTCAATCCCAGTAACCGCAGTCGGTGATCTATGGTCGGTTGATGTGATGGGACCGTTTCCACAGACGGCGACCGGTAACCAGTATCTGTTAGTGATGACGGAACATGCCACACGTTGGGTAGATGCCGTACCCATTGCAGACCAGCGGGCAAGGACAGTGACCGAGGTGGTAATCCGGCATATTGTAGCGTGTCACGGAATACCGAAGATGATATTAACTGACCAGGGTCCCTGTTTTGAAAGTGACGAGTTTAAAGCCCGTTTAAAGCAGTTTGGCATCAAGAGAATACGAACTACACCATATCATCCTCAGACAAACGGGCTTACAGAGAGAAACAATCGGACGTTAAAGGAATGGTTAGCATCAAAAGGAGGAAATTGGGAGAAAGAGTTACCATTGATTTTGCTGGCACATCGTTCCTCAACACAAGGAACAACCAAGAAGTCACCTTTCTTGCTCATGTATGGCAGACAACCACGACTTCCAATGCATAATAAGACCTGGCCACAACAACAGAAGTGGACGACAACAAGGTTAAGAAAAGAGAGGAGAGAGGCAATAAGGAACGTGGAAAAGAAACAAATATCAGACACAAAGAAGGCAGAACAACAGAGGAGAACGTGGAAACCCTTTGCAGTGGGGGACCTAGTAAAGTGTAGAGAACGAAAAAGTAACATAGCAGGGGGAGCAGGGTCGGGGAAGCTGGCTCCAAAATGGGAAGGACCGTATGTAATCACGGAGAGACGCGGCTCGGTCTACACGATCCGGAGAGAAGACAAGCAGAAGCGCGTAAATGCTAGTCAACTACAGAGATGGTTTCAAGATCATCATGAGTGTGAATCACGAAAAGCACCAAAGAACACAGCGGTACGGAGATCAGAAAGACTACGACAGCAACTTGTTAAAAGGGGGGACGAGTGTGGTGCGTGCTACTTATATTGATATAAGTAGTATATAACGTGAGTCAAAAGAACGTAATGGCTGGCAGCAGAAGATGGAGAAGATCAAGAAAAGAAGAGCGAGAAAACAATGGAATTTGTAAGAAATCGCATGAGCAATGAAATGCGAGACAATGGATTGATGTTTGCAACAGCAACAGCCCGGTTTGATATGATAGAATGATATTTTGCAAATTAACGATTTACTATATGGTTTTTCTATTTTACCAAGTAATTCTGTAATTTGTCCTAAATACAATTTGGCTGTCCTCACCCGTGTTCTTCTTCACTACATTACCATAGATCTACTATTTACGTGATACATCAATATTTTAGCGGTTAATAGCAAAGTAATGCTAATTGAAAGACCTCCAGTTTCAATCTAAACAGTAGAATGATATCAGCTTATTTCGATATAATTTATATTTTCTAATTGTTCAACTGTTAAATAGAATAGCATCGAGCTTCCATCATTGAGGTTTACATTATGAGCTTTTAAGACTATCGCACTCAGTTCTATACATTGTATCAATCCAGTGATCTTTATTTATTTTTGTTTGTATAATTTCAACATTTTTTTTTGTAAATGGTGTGAATAAACGATGACTAGGGTACTCAATTAACTACGTGTCCGTCCTATCATATTTTCTCCTTTTTTAGTACCGATACTTCTAATAATGGATATGTAGCAACGAATATACTACTAAAATTCATTAGTCAACCCTTGATTTATTAAACTGTGTTTCAAGAGATTTTAGAAAATATCACAATGTTACATTATTCTTTTTAAGACAATTTCATCTGAAGGTAAATTTTCTAAAAGAAGTAAACATATCTTGGTCAAAGTGCTAGGATTTTTCATCTCATCCTAAGGTTAGTGAATATCTAGGAAGCATAATTCAAGTATGCAGCGCATAGGAGGAGTAGATCTCTTATTTTTGTAATCGTTTTTATACATCATAGGATATAAATAAGGTTTTCCGTTTTCTTTGTTTTAATTTTATTATCTACTTTTCTTGTCTAGATTCACTTATGACTGGACATGCCAAAAAATTCATTAAAAAAAAAACAACTTTGTATTTCCTTATTTTTTAAAAACAGATTAACTTATGCTTTCTAAGAATTTCATATTATCACATGTAAATTGGTGTCAAATCAGTAAATTATTTTCTGTGAATTCATTTATTTTATTACAATGTCAACGGAATCATTCTATTCAATCATATAATCAGACTAATAATAATAACAATGAGGACAGTAGTGAATTTCTAGAAAAGCTTAATGCTGCTAAAGACAATCCTCCTAGTGGATCAGCTTTATATCAAGATGATGATCATTTTTCTCCAATTGTTTTTCCTGATCCTATATTCAATTGGGAATCTATCAGAACTAGCGTAAACGCTAGGCGTATGCATGAACGATTCAATATTGATAAAATTGTAAGTTTAATTAGTATTTTATTGTTTATATGTTCTTTAATTTCGATTATTTCTCTTTTCTGATCGCTAGAACTTGATTAGTCCTGTGATCTACAACAAGAATCTCTTTAAGCAGAGATGTATGGTGGCTAACAGTGTAATCCAGGATGCTCATTTCATCCTATTTGGGGCTCGTTAGCTGTATGTGCCTGCATTTCAAGATTGACGTTCACTCCGGGACTCGGACCCTTCGCGTTGTAGGCTTAGCTACTGAGTCCAGATGGCCACTAGCTTGTACAATGGGATGAAGTCCCCGAGTGCACATCGACTCTGGGATGCAGGCACATCTAGTTGGCGAGCCTCAAATAGGACGAAACGCGCACCCTCGATTCCACTTCTAGTTACCATTCATCTTTGCTTATAGTGCTTCTGATCTAAAGATGGTCGTTTTGTCCGAGTATGAGACTTGTTCAACTTTTAACTCGACTGAATCAAGATCCAAACGTCACACTCAGGAAAATGACAGATGAGTGTAAGCGGCTACAAAACATCAGACACAACAATGAGTTAACTGAACAGGTAAGTCCTAATTTAACTTGCAATAGTTTCAGTGCTATTACCAGGTTAAAAGCTCAGAAGCCAAGAACAACTCGTAACAAACTAACAACTGACTGTTGGTTATGCGGTGATTAGCATTATGTATGATTCTGCCCATCCAGGAAGCATAAATGTCAGGTGTGGAACAGACGTGGATATAAAGAAGGTCATTGTCCACTGAATCGTACGTCCCAGCCCAAGAACAAATATATACATCCTCGACATGTGATGAAATTAGTGTAATCTAAATCTCATTCTCTGGTAGCAGCCTTCCAAACGAACTATGACATTCGGAGAAAGTATGCTACTATCCGGATTAACGGCATATTAGCTCGTCTTCAGATTGGCACGGCGTCCGATATAACCCTAGTGTCTGGAGAAACGTATATCCTGCTTGAGAAACCGCAAATAAAGCCATTTAAGAAAACTGCTAAAAATTCATCAGAAGGAGTGCTAAAATTGGTTGGCGAATTACAGTGTGAATTTCCCTACAATGGGACTAACTGCAAAGGAATATGCTATCTGACTGAACGGCCAAACCTTGAACTTCGTCTAGATATGCTAAAAAAACTTGGAATAATGGATATACCATTTAACGATGTCTACGACGCGTCGTATTCATCATTGGACACCCCGATACTTGCAAAAAAGGATAGGTGCAAGGTTTCCGTGGCAGTGTATAGATTTGGACTTTGCTGGTCCACTTCATGGACAAACTTACCCTCTGGTAGTTGATGCATATAGCAAGTGACAAAACATTTTTTTCATGGAACACCCAAATTCAGGCTGCACAGTCAGAAAACTACGTCAATTATTCAGTCGTTTTGGGGTCTCAAAATTAATAGTTAGCGACAATGGAACACAATTTACGTCAGCTATCTTCTCGCGATTTTGTAGGCAGAATGGAATCAATCATATCCGAACACCTCCGGTCTATCCCCAAACCAATGACAAAGTGGAAAGCTTTGTTGGCACATTTAGAAATGGTCTGCAAAGACCAGAAGGGGAGGGGACCACCGAAGAGATCTAAGAGAGGTTCCTGTTTATTAACCGCTCTACACGTAACCCTCAGACTATTTGACAAGTCTTTCTAATTGAACGCTAGACTTGGTTCCTAAGCACATCTGGTAACCCCCAGGCTAGATCTACGTAGCGACTTGAACACGAGAGAAAAGGCGCGAAATATGTAAGAAACACACTATTCCAAAGGTTCGTTTATGTAGAGAAATCCTAGGGTTTTATGGTATTTTAGAAGTCCTTAGGTTTCCCGAAAATTCTGGAATGCTACTAAACACAGTAGCAGTGTAAGTAATTTTCCAATCAGAAACTCGACATGTGACTCTTCACTTTCTAGATGTTTCTGGCAAAACCTCTAGTGGACGCTGATTGGATAAGATGCTTCTCAGTGTTTTCAGAGCCTTTGTTGGCTTTTTTTCGAGTTTTCTGGATCTCCCAACACTTTCCCCCTTTCAAAAAATAAGACTTTCTTCGGGTCTACGTGCAGTTTGATAACTGGTTTTCCGCGGCGTTCGAACTTTCTTGGTATCCAGCGTCTATGAGTGTCTGTTAGAGTTCCTGCCATTGGAGTATATGTAATTATCTCTAGCGGAAAACTCACTCGACTATCTACCGTGTTTAGCGTCCTTTTTCTCGGTGTATTTGGTTGATGTGTCTAATCCACGTTACGAAATTCCCACACACTTTGTACAAAACATTTCCCATTCTCTTGTTAATGACTCCCGGTTTCCAACGATTTTTCTCAATGTATGACTTGACGAGCACTTTATCATCCACGTTAAAACTCCGGATATTCTGATTTTGTCTGCGTTCAACCATTGGTTTAGGTGGCAACATGGCGTCGAATATAGTTCGGATGCTTCTTCCGAGCATCGCTTCAGCAGGGGATTTTCCATATGGGACGATAGGGTTAGGCGTAGTTCTATAAGCTGTTAAGAATCTCGTAATTACCTGACTTGTGTCCTCGCCTTTCTCTTACAGTAGTGCTCTTTTGAATGTGCGTTCTGCCTGTCCATTTGATTGAGGGTGATAGGATGGAGAGCGTATATGTACAATCCCATTAATGTTGCAGAAGTGCTTGGATGATTCTGCAGTGAGTTGTGAGCCGTTATCGGTCACTAAAGTCTCCGGAACTCCAAAGCATCTAGACAGTTCAGATAACTTGCTAATTGTTTCATTCGCTGTGGAATTTGCCATGGCATAGATTTGTGGCCATTTTGCGTGTGCATCCACTATGACTAGAAACATTCTTCCTCGTATTGGGCTGGCAAAATCTGCGTGCGGCCTCTCTCATTGTTGTGGTTCACACTTCTTTGAACTTTTAGCTGCTTGCAGGTACGACGAATAATTGTGGCATCTGCTGTAGTTAATGATCTAGCCGCATGTGATATGGCTTTCTCAAATCCATCCGGCATGATGTGAGAAATAATTGCTCCAATGCCGTAGTTTGAAGCGTCTGATGCTACTACAATGGGTAAAGATAGATCGTAATAGGTGAGAAACAGATTCGAGACTAGCATTTTCTTGATTTCGTCGAAACCAGCTTGGCAATTCGCAGATCAATCCCATTTTAGATTCTTCGCCAGAAGATTATTTAAGGGGCACGCAGTTGATGAATGTTAGGAATAAAAGTTCCATAATGACTAACTAGTCCCAAAAAGGATCGTAGTGTGGGGACGTTCGTCCGTCTATGCATAGTTTTCACTGTCTGGATATTCTCTGGATCTGGTCTTCTGCCATCCTTGTCGATTATAAATCCGAAGTAGCGTACCTTTTGCATACAAAAGTTACATTTCTCTGGACAGAACCGAAGTCTATATTCGGTTATTCGCGACAGCACCTGGTCGAGCTTCTTTTCGAAGTCTATTCTATCTACTCCCATAATTATTACATCATCCAGACAAGCTGCAGCACCTGGAATATCCTGTAGCATAGTATCCGTTACTTGCTGAAACATGGATGGAACCGTCTTAACTTCGAATGTCAGTCGGTTATACCGGAATAGGCCCCTTGTGTGTGTTTATGGTGAGCAGATCTTGACACTCATCAGCAACAGGAACTTGTAAATAAGCTTCCGACAAATCCAACTTTGCAAAGAGCTTACCTCCATTCATTTAAGCAGAAAGATCTTCGGGTAGGGGTAATGGGTACTGATGAGTTTCTAGGGCTTCATTTAACCCGGTTGAGTAATCAGCACATAAATGGACGCTGCCATTAATCTTCTTTACTATCACTATCGTACAGCCCATTCTGAGAAATTCACCGGTTCAATGATACCCAATTTATGAAGTCGTTCTAGCTCTTGTCCAATATGTTTCTCTCAAGATTAATCGGTACGATGCCCGCTTACAGTTAGACACAGCTTCCGACATGACACTTATAATTAGAAGAACGTGGGAGAAAATTGGGAGACTGTCCCATAAACTCGATCTGTAACAAAGTCAGTACGTCGAAAGTTGAGGAGAAAAACTCTGTGGAAGTATCATGAAAATGACATAAAATGGTATTTAGTGAGGGTCTTTGAGAATGTACTAAATTTAAAGCTGCTCTTACCCTTCATCAGGGATCAAAGCCAGTGTTTCGACCTAAGAGACCTGTACCATATACTGCCTTCTGATCTGTTCTGAGTCATATCATCCCACGTCTCCAACCACTTTTTGCGGTTATCGCGCATTTACTATGTATATAGTTTGCATGTATCAACTTGACTCATACCAACCGTAAATGACTTCATGAACTCATGCCACGTTCTGGTTTTGGTACCGTTAGCTGTTATTTGATCTTTTTTATGTCAACCAATATTGCATTTTAGGGTTAGCAGTATTTAGGTATTCGTAACACATTTCCTAGCTATATTCGTCGATGAAAGTTTGTAGCTTTGTACATGTAATTGGTTGTTTTTCCTTGTTCTCTAATCATAACTTCAACATTGTTCACTAATTCCTTCCAAGAGATGCGAGTGTTACTGTGAAAGGATCTATAATTATGAACTTTTAGCTTACACATCTGGTCCACTTTCATAGTCCATGTTCACAGTTACGTAATAAAGCAAAACCTTCACGTAAAATCAAATTTAACACTTTCAGTTCTTGTAATAATACGATATCATTAAGTCGTTCAATCAAGATTTATTTATTTATTAGTTTTCATTTTAATAAACTTTCAATAATAATCCGATTCATAATAAAATGATTATTGTCTTTCAAACTGTACTTAATTCCCGAAATCCATTGATATATTTATAAAAAGAAATATAATTTAAGATTGCACTTATCACAGTTTATCATTGTCGCCATAATACATTTGTGTGTGTGTGTGTGTGTGTGTGTGTGTGTCTATATACAGTTGTTACCATAATCAAGATGTCTAAACATTTAAATTTGTAAATGTTATTCAATGTTAAAAAAGTATTTTGTGTTTGTTGAATAAAACAAACAACTGTATTCCAATATTTAATAGATAGATTTAAAAAAGCAAATGGATGGTATTCATGAACAAATAAATGCCTTAAAAGAAGATAGAATTTCACTTCAATATCAATATGAACACAATAAACAGGTATATGCAATTCTTTTTCTTTTTTTTTATAACTTTCATTAACTTCCTGTTTTTCTCAGAAATAATTCAATAAAATCTATGTACTATCGTTGATAAATTAAGAATATTGTTTAGAAAAAGATACTAGAAATAATAGAATCAGTGTTAGTGAGAAGACTGTAGTATGAACTTAAAGTAATTACTCATTGTTTCATAGTTTGTAGTTGGAACTGAAATACAAGAAATTGTATTTGATTTCTTAAATATATTTCCTTGATAAATTCACTAATGATACATATATATTTCTCTCAGTTGAATGGAGGGAGATTCATAAATATATGGAACCCAACAATCATTTGGTTTTGAAGTCGTATGTTTTGTATGATGGTTAGTGATACTATTCAGTTTTTAATTATATTGTATTCTCTGATGTAGATGGTTTAATTGTGGCTCTTTGAATATTGCTCTGGATAGTATAATCAACTCTTACTTCATATTGAAGTGAGCTTTCCCGTTATTCTACAAGTGTTAATTTAGTTCTTTTTTATGACTGTTCGTGAATGGTTGTCTTAGTAAATTTTATTGTCTCCATTTATTTCGGCATTCCTATTTACTGTCGTTTTCGGTTGACCTCTGAGCATTTACTTGATTAACCTCTTCCGTACGAGTTGATATATTGAATCTATGTCGATATGTCCGCCAATCGATATGAATGTCATACCTCTAAACTTCATGTACATGAATATCTATCTATATTGATATCAATAATAACATACCATTTCGCTTAACTGCTAATCTCTGTTCATATATGTGTAAGTAATTGGAGCATCCACTTTGTTCAACGCTTTATTTCTCGCATTTGGTGTAACATATTTTATAGATGATATCGCATTTATCTTCTAATTTGACATTTATGGAAAAAGTGAAAAGTCCACTTTTACACATGAGACAGGCGCTGATGATAATATATAGAACTACAATGATGGCTTCGTAATTAAACTATCTATTTCGGAGAATAGAACAATCCTAAAAGCATCCTCTTGAGTCCCGAATCGCCTACATCATCTTATTATATCACTCAAATGCCAAAAAATCGAGGTAGATGAGCCACAGTTCGAACACGGTATTCGAAGGTTATATAATTGACTTTCACAAAATTTATTTTTAGTTATAACTTGTTTAAATTCTCGAAACTTCATGCCCTTTCTTCTTATCCGATGAAACGATGTGAGTATATTTATTGGTACAACGTAGACAAGAAGTAATCTATTAGACTTGAAATTCATTTATATATCTGTACCTGTTTTCACATGGTTACAAAATTCTGAGTACAATGAACTAGACAATTTATTTTCATTCTATGGAGAAATATGGAATGGTGCATTGTTGTAAAAGTTATGAGAAAAATAATTATGTGCATGTGATAGTTGTGCTAATCTAAAAAGGTTCCACAATATGCAGTAATTACAATTCTTTTTCACATCAATATACAAAGCACATGTTTTCACTTTATTGTATGAAGATTGGCTGTGATACTGTTGAGTGTTGTTACATTTTCTCTAAGTGTCAAGTAGAGTTAACCATATACATATACATTCTAGGATTTCCAAACTGTGAACGAAAGTTTGAGTTTGGCCTCTACCTTTACCTTTCCACCATGGCCCTCAAATGCCCTGGTACGGCTGCGAGTGAGGAGTCCGCTCTGCCTATCGAAATGTTCTTACATGGCCACGCATATACAGCCACTACTATGGAAGTCATACTCACTGTCTTCTCTGGGGGGGTGTTTACGAACTTGGGAGGACGAAGAGCGAATATCCGGTACTTTAACCAGGTTTGTGGACATGGAGGGTCCACTTAAGGGAGTTGTAAACCCTGATTCCAAACCACTGGTGCACATGGACTCCAGTATCCTGAGGGGACAAATGGCGTATGAACCTATTATTAGTCACCTCCTACCATTGGACTACATCCCCTAACGTCGCTCCACTGCCTTGTGAATTACATCTCTAGGTCAAAGGCTCAGGCGCGGCCCACTGAAAAAACCACCCACTTTAGTTTGGGCACCCGGGCAGTATTTCAGCCCTCACACAAATCGAATAACGAAGCGTGATGCATATGTATTTGGTGCCTCCTTGTGCCAATATTTATGTGTTTAAATAAATAAATAAATAACCATGGTCCATTGTCAAAAGTTAATAAATTTCTAAGTGTTATTCATCTGAATTACTGTGAGTAGAGCATAAATTTGGCTGTGTGAATTTGTGTTTTTTTAAATACTGTGGTACTGGGTTGGGTGGGTTGACTTATTTTTTAATATCATCATACCAAGATTGAGTGGATCAACTGCACGGTACTGAAGAAAGTCTTTAATTAGATTAATCATACAATTTAAAGAATGTAAGTAGCCTTGTGACGGTAGCATTTAGGTTTTAATATTTTTCTTCCTGTAGATCTAGAACTATCGGAATAGTTTCTATGTAAGTTAAAAATTTAGTCACTGACAATCTTTCTTCCATTTAACACTTGTGAAGATAAATGTCTTCCTTATTTCTATATATTTTCTTTTTGGAAAGGATCCAGATGAAGTTAAAGCTGCTGCACGTGCATTACGAAGTGAACAAAAGTCACTAGAGGTTTGTTGCCATTTTTCATTGCCCTCCATAAATTTATGCAATCAAGTGTTCAATAGCGTGTTTAACCGTTAGTTATTCAAAGGTGTTGTTTTCGTCATTTTTATCATTAAAAACACGAAGTTCGGTGAAGGGATCTCTTTTCAGAGAATTAATTCTCATGCTGTGCAATCGTCTGTATATATATATATATATATATATATATATATATAATTGTCAAAGTATTAGTTTCATGTCTGTATATGAACAAGGAATAAATATTTTGATGTAATAGAAAGGTTGCAACACCAGATCACGTAATTTAAATAATAACTATTAAAGATTGTGTGTGTAAATAATAATAATTATAATAATCTTGAAACACCGACTTCGGTGGCTTGGACATGTCCTACGAATGTCGTCCCAGAGAATTCCACGTCGTACATTATTTGCCGACTCTGGGACTGGTTGGAAAAATTGGAGAGGTGGTCAGTGTATGACATAGTGTCGTGGTATGAAAGAAAGCTGCAAAGGACTGGCTTGTGTTGGTCCTTCACGACTCCCTGGTTGGGGTCCGAGAGATGGTGCTATACAGTGGCTAGAGACGTTATCAGATATGGCTGAGAATAGAAGCCAGTGGCGATCCTGCCGTAACCTTCTTTTACTTTCTTCGTAAAACGTGGTCGTATCTTCCTAAACTGAAAGATTTCTTTTGACTGTACCTTTCCGTCCCCCCATTATTACTATTATTATTATTACACTTCCCTACACCGATCTCTTCGTTATTGTTCTCTTTTTTATTACACTCCTTACCTTTTTTTCCTTCTCTTTAAATTCTCATTGTTTTGTGTGTCGCATATATATTTGGCGCACTCTTGTACCAATATGTATGTGTTCAAGTAAATAAATAAATAAATAAATTATGTGTATGCAAATAGAAAACATTGTAAAATTAATAAGTTAGCAGTAGATTATAACGTGAATGAAGTAAGATGATTAAAATATTTTTGTTACAATAATTAAGAGTTATAGAGTTGTACAATTAGACAGTGATATCAAAAACAATTATGAATAAAGTCATGATTATCTACGATATATTTAAAGAGAAAGGGAGATATTTTCAAATATTAAATGCAATTCTTTTGTACGCACATTCTCGTCGACTGAATTCTCGGGTATTGATCTCCTTCCAGGAGGCCCACTTATCGACTGGTCTGCGTCAACACCTGAATTAAGGTTAGGGAGTGAAGTAGTCGAACGCGTTGACAACTTCACTTATCTTGGAAGTCTGATTACCCCTAATGGGTTGGTGTCTGACGAAATCTCAGCACGGATTCGAAAAGCTCGTTTGGTTTTTGCCAACTTACGTCACCTATGGTGAAGGCGAGATATCCGTCTATCAATAACAGGACGAGTATACTGTGCGGCAGTCCGTTCTGTTTTAATTTACGGCAGCGAAACATGGCCATTAAGAGTAGAAGACACTCGTAAGCTACTAGTATTTGACCACAGATGCCTTAGAAATATTGCTGGCGTCTGCTGGGATCACCGGGTAAGTAATAGTGAGGTTAGACACAGGGTATTAAGGAATGATGGCAAATCAGTTGATGAGGTTGTGAATCTTCATCGACTGAGATGGTTGGGCCACGTGTTACGTATGTCTGAACATCGACTACCACGACGTGCAACGCTAACCGGTGTTGGAGATGGTTGGAAGAAAGTTAGGGGCGGCCAAACTAAAACGTTGCATCAGTACTTGAAGTCACTAACTTGTAGTCTGAGCCATGTTGGTAGATGCACACTACTTGTTTGGGGTCCGCGTGACTATCGTAACCAATGGTTGGAGACTCTTGGTGACATGGCTCAGAATCGATCACAATGGCGTCGGTGTATACACTCCCTGTCTTCCTTTAAACTAAGAGATTAAAATTGTTTCATATCTTTCTTTCTATGAACTAATTTTTGTTCCTGTACTATATCTTTATATGCAATCTTTCTTTTATATATTACCACCTCTGAATTAACTACTTTTATGAATCTGTTGTTCATCTTGTTGTGTTAATGAGGTATGGCAACTTGAACCGATGCATATATGTGCCTGGTCCTACGTTGTAGCTGACTGACTGACTGTACGCACAGTTCTGGCTGCATCTCAAGGTCGGCAAGAGCTTCTGATGTTTTAAGGAGTTGGATATGAAAAAAATATAGGTAGATTTGGACGAATTCTATAAGCAACCTTAAAACCAACCTGTGGATCAGTGAAGTGGTTGGAATCGAATAAATGTTCAAGTATGGAACTCTTAACTGCTTTCCTCTCACCTCAGCAGAATCTCACTGAGACATATTCTCGTATCCGAGTTGAACGAAAGCGCTGGCTACGGAATGTGTACCTTGCTCCACTAGAGCAGGTGAACTAACACACTTGATAAAAATAACATTCTATACAGGAAATCTGTGACTGACTATTACTAACAGAAAGCTTTTCTGTTTCTATAAAGGATGAGCTCCCTAGTCTGGGCGCCTCAATGTGTACCTACCAAAAATTTCATATATACATGACCATAAATGATGGTTTCTTCAGAATAATTCAATGGTTTACAGAATCTTTTCCTTTTACTTAATCTTGCCTGTTCATCAACGTGACTTGTTAATTTAATTATCTTATTTTATCATTATAATATTTGTTTATTAAGGGATTGTTTCGTATTAATGTAGACGAACTAATTATTGTATGCTTGTATAGTAGCAATATTTCGAATAAAATGCTATTATAAAATATTTCGTATTTGTTAGGATCATCCTACCATCCATTCTGAGTCTAGGTGCTGGGTACTAGGTAGCGATGGGAAACCGATTAGTGAAGTAGTTGTTACTTATCAGTTGATTTATTTCAAACATGCATTACGTACGACCATCCATTGCCTACATCGACGTAGGATGTTTTCTGGCGTATTGATAGGTTATAATAAAGCTAGGGGCAACCAAGCCCAAACATATTATTAGTCCATGGAGTTACTGACTGTTGATAGGTAGTAGTAGTCAGCAACTATAGTGGGCATGAATACCTTTGTTAAGAATCATGCCGATTAGTGACAATCGAGAGAGAATAGTGAATGCAGTGAGTATTATAAACAATGGTCAGTATGATAAGTGTGTTTACTCATGTAAGCTGACGCAAAGACTTCAGATATATTTCACAGTCAATAACTAGAATTGTAAAAACAGGATTAAATTGCGAAAAACAGAAATGATGTCAAGGATTCTTTGTAAATTTAGTATAAATTAGTTGTCACCGAAAAGACAATTATGTGTCTTATTTCTGCCGGATGTAGAGCGACCAACTACTTATTTTCGATATGTTGTTGGGATACCTCATCTGAGCACATAAGCACAATCTTCCTTTACGAAGAAAGTAAAGGAAGGTTACAGCAGGATCGCCACTGGCTTCTATTCTCAGCCATATCTGATAACGTCTCTAGCCACTGTATAGCACCATCTCTCGGACCCCAGCCAGGGAGTCGAGAAGAACTAACAGAAGTCAGCCCTTTGCAGCTTTCTTTCATACCACGATACCATGTCATACACTGACCACCTCTCCGCTTTTTCCAATCAGTCCCAGGGTCAGCAAATAATGCATGACGTGGAATTCTCTGGGACGTCATTCGTAAAATATGTCCAAGCCACCGAAGTCGGTGTTTCAAGATGGTGACACCAATTGCATTTTCGTCTCTGTGACCGAACACATGATGCCGAACCTCTGCATTACTGACATGGTGTTGCCACTGGATGTCAGCAGCACTGATCTCATCACTCACGCCACCACCAGCACTTATGCAGCTACCCAGATACACGAACTTCTCGACCACTTCTATCTGCTCACCACCCAAGGTGAGCACAGGATTGGAATCCCGCCAGTCTTGTAGGAGTACTTTGCACTTCGAAGGTGCAAAGCACATACCATACCTACGGACACTGATTGCCAACTGATTAAGTGCGTATTGCATGCCTTGGGCATTATCGCACAGCAAGACAATATCATCCGCACGCTCAAGTTCGAGAAGTCTTTCTCCAGGCAATAAATCCACACCGCCATTACTTACATCCATCAGAGCTGTTCCCAGAATGTCATCGATGGCAAAGTTGAAGAGGAATGATGAGATTGGGCAACCCTGTCTAACCCCACTGCTTGAATGGAACAATGGAGAGTGGTGGTTGTATGCCCTCACTCTGCCTGAGGTGTTTGTATATAGGGCTTTTAGGATGTTAATAAACTTCTCAGGCACACCCTTCTTCAATAGACAATCCCAGAGAACAGCCCTGTCCAACGAATCGAAGGCAGCTCTGATGTCAAGAAACACTACCATTTTTGACCTTTGGTAAGTATGACGGTGTTCTAGCATTTAGCGGAGGGTAAAGATATGATCAATACATCCTCGACTAGAACGAAAACCAGCCTACCCCTCGCGAGTCAATCGTCCTCGAGTTTTGAACAACCTACGAAGTATGACGGAAGCCAATAGCTTGGACACAGTCGGAAGTAGACTTGTACTGCTCTAATAATAGACCCAATCCTAAATTTGTAGATTCGTCATAATATAACTGCCTAATCTATAAGATCTTACGTGGAAGTCACACCATCGACTACACCAACTCACTGTATCGTATCAATTACCAATACATTATGTAGAACAAGGTTAGGCTAGAGAAAGAACAATATATTTAATATGAATAGAAGATATAAGGTAACATTCAGCAGAGACCACGCCTGCATGGCCGAGTCATGCCATCCGATCAACTCCAGTTCATTCCATTCATTGTTCCCGCCCTTTCCATCGTTAGGTATTTCTCCGTGTTAAATATTGAATATCTATTTTCCGAGTAGTGTTGTGTTCAGCTTTGAAGATTGTGTGGTTATGGTCCAATGCCACTACACTACTCTCCCACCAGAATCAACGTGATGTTGGTTCGATACCAAATTGGATGGGATCGTCACGCGCCGGAGGTTACCAAGGATAATAAGGATC